CCCCCCCCCAGGAGCATCAACCTGATCTGAGGTAAAAACAGCCCCAAAAAAGCACCCAAAAAAGGGGACAAAAAACCGAAAAGAAAAAGGCTTTGGAAGTTTATTTATCTTTGATAAACCCTCAACTGAAAGAAAATCTGTGTTAACAGCAGTAAAGAGGCTCCGGGAGCCCGTTACCCACAGGGTTTGTGTTTTGTGTTGTTTGTTTTTTCATCACTAGACATTAAATTACATGGAATGAGACGGGACGGAAAAGGGGTCCTACCCGAGGAGTTAAAAAGTCCAGTGAGAGTTTTGGTTAAAGCAACCTTCTGATTCAAATCAGCTCAGAATGAATTCTAGTTAAGAAAAAGCTTATTTTCTTCTTTTTTTTTTTTTTCCTATACAAAATTACAATACAGAGAACGTGTACAATTACAATACGGGGTGGGTTAAATGTTAGTAGCTATCAACTAGAACAGAAATTTTCATAGTAAAAAACTTTATGGAAATTAAAATAAGTCAATTTTTTTTTCCCTTCAGCTGTAAAATTGAGACAAACGCCAAAAAGTTCTAGAAGAGACACTTTTTTTCTGCTTCTCACCGTAAAATCCGTCATCCTTAAAAAAATGAATTTGGTTAGGAAAAAGGAAGCAAGTTCTTTTTAAAAAAGAATTTCACATCCCAGTGGGCATGAAGTGAAAAGAACTTGAGTGAGGCTGAGAGGTAGAGAGGTATCATTGTAATCACAATCTTCTATTGGTTCCAGGGTTTGTTCTGAGGTAATTTGCTGTGTGTCAAGTTGTATAAACACAAGGAAAAGAAAGCAAAAGTATTGGCAAAAGAGCAACATTGACAAATGACACTAATGACCTCTTTCCTCTCATCGACAGGTCCTAAAAATAAAACTTAATTAGACGCATCTGAATTAACACTTCCAGGGTCTCCAGCAGGTGAAGTGATTGATGAAGGGGTGGTAGCATCCTGCCAGCTGCCATTCGCCTGGGGGGAGAACAAACACATCATTTCATTACACCTTGAAGAACTTACCTGCAGGGAATAAATTCTGCCTTTTTATTTTTACCCCTAGGCTGTGGTTTTGAAAGGAAATTGTTCCCTTTCAGCTCTGGCAAAGCAGAGTCTGTGAATATCCCTTAAAACCTCTTCCCTCCCTAAGATTTTATAGTGTCATCTCTTTATGGCAAGTGGGTAAATTTTCAGGTGAAAAAGGCAAAATTTTAAAGCTGTGAGAGGGAAAGGCTCTTCAACTGCATCTTTTCCAGATCAAAGAGATGTTTTGGGGATAAAAAGTGACCATTTAGTCACAGATCTTGAACCCATCTGGGGTAGAATTGGTGTTTTTAGAAATGAGTATTATATCTTACATCAATA